ACCTTTACAATAAGACAAAGCAATTTACTATTTATAGTCTTCTTTTATAAATACAAAGAAATAGTTCGAAAATCATCAATTTAGAGTTTTAATGGTTTATGAAAAATAATTTCATTTGATAGTCATTTATAATGTTTCAGGAGGCACATTTTAATTATTTTGAAAAATGTACTAATATCCTGTCATAGAAACGATACAATGATTTAAATAGACTCTATTATTTTTAATAGTACTACATAAAAATATATTTGTCATAGAAACAACTGATCTAAATTTGCATAAGATTATTGCTCATTTATATAAATAAGAACAAATAAAATTGAGGTCGTAAATTTAATTTAAAAACTCAGAAGGGTTTTGGAAAGTAAAAGTAATAGTGTTTTAATAAAAAAAGTAAAATGAATAGATCGCCTTTTTTATTTGCAAGAGTAAATAAGCTTCGTCCTGCCAAAGTAAACTTTCTTCCTCGCTTCTGTTGCTGCGGTTCTGCTGTTGGTGTTGCTGCGACGCTGTTGCTGCTGCGCTGGACGCAGGACACCGACGCAGGACCTTGTGGGCATGTGCCATATATCCTGGCATTGCACTGGCTGCTGTTGCGGGATTTTGGTACAATTTGCCTTCTGTATTTTGCCCCTTTTTTATTTTTGCGCAAAGAGCGGGGGCGGCTCTATATGTCAGTTGATTTCATTTCACTTTTTTTTTCTGATGGTCCTTTTGCAACCTCGTTTCATGCCAACTATTAGTGGAGCTGCCATTTTTTCGCCTTTTGATACAGAGCACTGCAATCCACGGCGGTAAATGGAAACCTTGACAGTTGCATTGTTGCCTGGTGCTGACAGAAAAAGAGTAACGAAAAGAAAACGAAGTGAAATACGCGGATAGCTGCTGCCTATTTGCATTGCGTAATGGAAAATCATTCAACCAAGGGGCGCAACCCTTATCCAAATCCGAATTCAAGTCCTCGGAACACTGACCTGTCCCATACACAAAAGTACGCATCGAATCCCACGAGGAGCCTTAAGGAAACATCTGCACAAACAACGAGATGCAGCCGGCTTTTGGGTCATAATTTTCTCTTAGATAGTTCTTAAGTTCACGATCCCCAGACAAGTTACAGATTGGTTTTTTTTCTACCCAAAAGCTGCTGCAAGTTTCTCTTTTTTCTTGTGCATTCTGCTCTTCCTTTTTTCTTATTTTTTTTCTTTCTCTCTTATTTGCTTTCTGCGTGTCCTTTGTGAGGACAGCAAAGGACATTCACACTGCAAGCATCCACAATAAAAAGACGAACGGCAAAGGAAACCAGAAATGTATCTGACAGTTGGTGCTGCTAAAGTATTTGAAAAATGAATGAAATGTGCGCAAAAAACAAGAACATGGAAATATAACAAAAATTTTAATAAGAATGAAAAATTGAATACACTGGAATGCAAACTAGAAATATTGAACCTTTAAAAACCTTTGTTACCTTCGGATTATTTTTATAGGAGTAATTTTATTTTCTCCTTATTGATTATAAAAAATCTATTAAAATCTTTTTGAAATACTCACATTATTTAGACTAAATTCTAAGGAGTGTATAATCAAATTTAAAATCGCTTAACTACTAAAGTAAAAGCGAACTATGTTATAAAATCCCATGCTTAGTTAATAAATATTTAAGCTAACAATTCGAAAAAAAATCAGAAGTGTAGTGTATCCTATAAAAATATAAAATGTACTTAATATAATATGTGCAATACGATTACTTAATCATGTCTTTAAGTTTCTTAAAGTGTAGTGCCAGTTCTTCAAGGGCAAAAATCTCTTGCTGAAGTTGAATGCACCAGCAGAAGATGCATGGCATCCGGCAGGACGAAAAGTATCCTGTGGATGCTGTTGCCGCATCCTCGCCGTATTTTAATTTATTTCATGCCGCTTAAGATCTGATGGCTGTTTTACTATCTCACTGCTCCAAAAGGAGCATTTCCAGAGTATCTCAGCATCCGAGTATCTGGGTATCTCACTTTATTTCTGTTGTATCTCAGAGTGGCAAATGCACACGTAATACGAGTAAAGCAAGCCAAATGCATTAACAGCGGCAACAACGGGCGGCCAGAAAGAGAGGGGTATGCAATGGAGTGAAAGAGATGGGGATACACACACCCATACACACGCATATATATTTTTATTTGTGCCATTACAGCCCTCGTTGTTGTACGAGTTTTGAGTTTTCCGAAACTGAAATCATGAAAGGAGCAGATGTTAAATTTTTATACACAACGCACAACAACAACGACGACGTCGGCAGCGCTGCTGCTGCATTGTTGTTGCTGTTGTTGTTTTTGATGCCTTATTCTGCACTGCTCGTCATGAGCAGGCCATCTCTTTCGCTCTTAACTCGGTTGCCAGGCAGCCGCAAATGCTGCCCTCTCTTTCTGACCACTTTTACTGGTGTTGTTGGACTGGCAGAAACTTCAGCTGCTCACTGTGGTTGTTGTTGGTATTTTTCATGAGCTGAGGGGGAGGGGGTCGCCCAAAGGGATAAGGGGGGTAGAGGGGAAAGGGGGCGGGGGGATCTGGACATTGACCGTCCTTTGAGGAGCCTGCAGCCTCAAAAGGTTTCACTGGCAAAATCAAATTTAAAGCATAGGAATCCGAAAGGAAAGTTTGATTTATTGGTTTGAATTTTATTTTCGACTCTGTTTTTGATTTTAAAATATTATAAAATATCTCAATTAAGTGATGACTAAACATAGCATTTAAAGTGAAAATAAATATCATTTAAAATATTTAGATTTATATACCTATTTTCGCTGACAAAGCCAATTGGGTTCTTAAAAAGTCATGATCATTGCATTTAATAAATAAAGTTTTTAGGTAGTGTTTCTTCTTATTTATCTAATTGGCAATATGCAATGACAAGCATCACTTAGCAATCAATTTTTTTAATTTTCCCCCTGCCATAATCCTAAATTGCAACAATTTCACCTTTGCATCCCATGTGAGTTGGATATTTTTGTTTTGTGGACTTATCCTTACCTGATTTGTCAATGCCTTTTTACCTGGTTCTCGACTGCGTATTGGAACAATAGTTTTCCATTTCGTGATGCTAATCATTGCTAAAACTCTGCACAAAACAAGCCGGCAGGCCTCTCTTTCCCTCTTCCTCTCTGCCCTTCTCCCCCTCTCGCTCACATCCTCACATCGCATCCTTATGGAGGACAAATTAACCCTCGGCAGAGTCACGGGGTGTGAGATGAGCCTGCACAGAGCTCGGTGGGTGGGTTCCGTCCCACTGTGCCAGTTTGAATCGCTGCCAGTTGAACATACCCACTGTGTGTAGGTCGGTGAGCTGCATTTTCCACAACAGGTACGAAAACCGAGAGCTCAATATACAAAACACAAGGTACAAGCTGCAGCAGGACGAGGCTGTTGCACCTTTGGCTTAATTGAGATTTTCGGCCATGCAAACACTCGAACTCTGACTTATCAATATATTTTTTCCATTTCTTTGGTGAATGAAACTTATGCAATCGGAACTTGTTGCAATCAGCATTGCCTGGATATATCTATGATATTTATAAGTGAGTATTTACTAAAAGGGGTTTTTTAAATGAGCCCATGTTTACACACCAGAATTATATGTTAATGTATTAAAAGGTGATTTTGAGTTCACTGACTAAAGGATTATAAAAGGATTATATTTAATTTACCTTATGAATACACATTTTTTATAGATATTGAAGGCAAATGAATTGCTGAAAGTGAGATGAAGTCTGCTCTGTTGATGAGTAAATCCCTCAGCTCATACGAAAAATAAGTATTAGTAGATTTAATATAAACTATAACATTTCATTTTTATAATAGATTAAAAAAAAATAAAATATTGGCAGTATAAGTTAAAAGTATTTCAATTCGTGTCTTAATAGCTTATCTAATAATGCATTTCGTTATTTTTATATATTCGAAAATCCAAAAGGAGGCAAACAATATGGTCCCAATTAAAAATAAAACCATCCAACTTTTCCAATAATGTCTTTGTATTTCCGCTTGTTTCAAATATAAACCCGAGATGGAGTATCCCCAAACTTCAGCTGCTTCCTTGCTTTCCTTTTTTCCATCTTGCCATCCTGTCACCAACTGGGGCCATCTGGAGCAGTTTTGGTGTCGCAGATGTACGGATGCAGGGGCATACATCATCGGGCCATAACATCGGCCATCAATACATCCATTGCGTATCCTCTGATGGTATCCTCATGGGCCTCGGGTCCTCGCTCTGGATCCGCCCTTCCCCTTTCCGGCAATCCATGTATGGCCCCCTTTTTTGAGCCGCGCTTCGTGCGCGTGACACCTGATGTTATTTTACGATTATTGTCTCTGGATTTATGGAACGCAATTGCATTTGCAGCACAGCAGGTGTAGTTATAGCTTGTTTTTGCTGCTTTTGCCGCTTCTGCCGCTGCGGAAACTCTCATTTCGCATTTCACAATTAAAAGTTTGGAATCCTTTGCGGCTGCTGTGCTAGCACAAAAAGGAATAACTATATTAATTAAAAACCACAAAATCCGATTTGCACTATGCCCAGGGCTTAATAATCTTCCTGTGTCATTATGTGTTTGCAATTGTCAGGGATTGAAAAGTGGGCGAATATTGATTGAAAGTGTGGAGCTTATTCAATTTTATGGAATTATGAATGTGTAGCCTGCCTTTGGATTAAATTCGTTTAAAATCAATTCTTAAGAATTCAATTACTTGAACAAATTACTTTAAAATTAAATTGTTTTTGAAATTAAAGTGTTGGATTTTACTGGATTACAATTTGTTGGAATTATTTTATATTTAAGTTGAGGGATTACAAGCATTTTATTTTTGATTTATTAATATAAGTGAAGATTTGAATACTTGCCTTTCATATAATTATATACAGAGGTTTTGTATCCTTTCAGCATAAGACCTATATTTTCCAGGAAAACAAATTTATAAAGATCAAAATCCACCCCAGAAAAAACACAGTCATGATCTTAACTTGAAAAAAGCATCGCCTCGAATCGTTGTTTATTTGATATCCATTAGATCGCTCACAGGGTAACTCTAATGCTACTATACAAAACTCAAAGGGATTGTGCGGGCATAAATCCAATTTAGCATGCTCCACTCGATGTTTTCGATTTAAATTACATTTTTAAGAACTACATTGTGTGTGTTTGTGTGTAACTACATGAGAGAGATATTGAGTGTGCTTGTGTGTGTGTGTGGGGGTGTTGTGTGTTTTCGTATCATTTAGCTATCAGATATGAATTTGCCAAAATCGTCCTCGTCCTTCCTCGTCCTGCATCCACTGACACATTTAATTGGCGGCTATCGTGCAGACACAGCAACTGGGAAACCAGAACGTGTCCGTGTAAAGATTCTGCCCATTGCCCTGGAGCGCAATTAAGCGTTTTTGCACAAACTTCTGCTCGCATCTCGAGTTGTAGCCGTTGGGCAATTCGCACAGGTTCGAGCAGGTGTTCGATCTGAAATATAAACGAAATAAGTGGCGAATGTGAATGCGAAGTACACCAATGCCAAATGCTAAAAATCAACAATTGTCCAGAATTTAGTTGTGGGTTGTCGGGCATAAATAAAGAGCGCCGGCTGCGACTCCTTCGCAAGGAGGAAAAAAGGAAGATCCCGGAGTCGCAGGCGGAGCAGAGTTGAAAGTTTAACGAACTCGTTAAAACGGGAATCATATGTAATTGATAAGGAGTCGCCGTCCGAGCGGAAGCAGAAACGGTAAAATCCCTGCACTGCAACAAATAAATTCATTTTATCTTAAAATTTACCACAAAAAAATTATTATATATACTGATTAAAAAAATAATTATATATTGCCAAACTTACTGGATATTTGTTATTCAATATTTTGGTATAATAAAAGTACAATGATTTTATAAGAGCAGAAACTGTGCATCTGACTTTTAAACTGGTTGCTCATTACACTTGTTATTAAAATTCTCAATAAAATTTAAAACGTAGCAAATAATACTTTAAATTACTTTAGATTAACCTAGCTTTAGGCGATGGAAGTAAATATTTAGGCAAAGGCAAAAGTCCACCAACACTCAATTCAAAAATGATAGTTCTAGACATGCCTCTTTGAAATCCGAGTTCAGATCACATTTCTGCATTCCTTCTATAATATATGTTATAATATCATAATACACTGAAGTATACAAATGTTTTGAATATAAAATATGTTTTAATTTATCTGCGTGTAGCCCGGTTCCCAGCTGTTCCTTGGCCAAGATTTATGCGCGCCTGCGTAGGTACTCCATTTGGTTAAACAAATTGCGGCAAGTACCGGGTTCAGTGCTAACAACAAGTGGCAGGGAAAAGGGAAAAGGGGAAGGGAGTGGCCTCAGTTTTTGAGACTGGGAAGCGGGCGAATCGGGCAACAATTAGGGCAACGCGTTGACCCAACTCGAAGAACCAGAAACCGAAGCACCCCTCCCCCGTTCCCGGCATTTGTTTGCGCTTTTTCCGGATGAGTGTGGAAAGGTTTTCGAGTAGCGCACGCATCCAAAAAAAAAAATATTAAAAAAAAAGGGGAAGGACCAAGCAGAGGGGAATAAAACAGGGGACAAGGACATGGCCTAATGGCGGACTGCTCTGGTATTTCATTCTCATTTTCGGGGTGTGATAATTCGTTTAACCGCAATTATGACACCGTGTAAACGGGCCTTAGTTCGACTGCACTAACCACGTGCCCGCCGGTGGGAAAAGGAGCGATGGATTTGAGAGAAAGAGAAGGACAGCGAGGGACTTCCCCTAGTCCAAACAAAAAATAAATAAAAGAAGGGGGAAACCTCGGGCGTCCCGCTGCGAATTATTAACATCGGAATGGGGTTGGCATGACACCTCGCCACTGATTACAAGTGCTGAAAACGGTAAGGCGTGTGCCTCTGGATCAGGGGAAAAATTCGAAATAACGAGTGGGAAAGGCTACTTCAAGGACGGCTGGATGGACAAGTCACTCACATTATCCCCTAATGCTGCAAAATAATTACAGACTTATGATTTGTGAAGCAGAAGAATAAAAAAGCCCGCAATAATAAATGGTTAATAATAAAAATAACACTAAGTTCTTTCTTTCCGAAAGGTGGCAGATATTAGCTGTGGTAACTTATTAATTTTACCTTTTTAATCAGTGATGAGAATCAAACAGTTATTTCGACTTCAAACTATTTTTTAGTTGGCAAATCTATTTCAGTTTTAAAGATAAAAATAATTTTTTTTTATAATTTTGTTGTGCATCTCAGTTATTATACAAATTTATGAAACATTATATGTTTTATTGTGCATTTAAATTACTGAAAAATATATAACCCTAACCATCTGTAAATAATTTTTATTTATTTTATAATTCAATGCTTAATTTATGTACATAACAAGAAAGGAAAGCTAACTTCGGACGGAGCCGAAGTTGATATACCCTTGCAGAATATTCTGTAAATTATATTCTTCAAAATTATTCATATATTCTTAATACTCATAAAAAGTCCTAACTTCCTAACTTTAAAAACACCAAAGTTATGGCATTTCCAATCGTTCAGTTATATGGCAGCTATAGGATATAGTCGGCCGATCCTTATGAAATTTGGTAGGTCGGATTGATTGGCCAAAAATAAAACCCATAGAAAATCCCAACTTGATAACTTTACAAACACCAAAGTTATGGCATTTCCGATCAATCAATTATATGGCGGCTATAGGATATAGTCGTCCGATCCTTATGAAATTCGGTAGGTCGGATTAATTGGCCAAAAATAAAACTCATAGAAAATCCCAACTTCCTAACTTTAAAAACACCAAAGTTATGGCATTTCCGATCGTTCAGTTATATGGCAGCTATATGATATAGTGGCCCGATCCGGCTCGTTCCGACTTATATACTACCTGCAATAGAAAGACAACTTTTGGGAAAGTTTCAAGCAGATAGCTTTAAAACTGAGGGACTAGTTTGCGTAGAAACGGACGGACGGACAGACGGACAGACGGACGGACAGACGGACAGACGGACAGACGGACGGACAGACGGACATGGCTAGATCGACTCTCCTGGTGATGCTGATCAAGAATATATATACTTTATAGGGTCGGAAATGTCTCCTTCACTGCGTTGCAAACTTTTGACTGAAATTATAATACCCTCTGCAAGGGTATAAAAACATGGCTCTGACATTAATCTTAGTTTTCAATCAGGCAAGCAGTTCACTGCTTACTATACTCCTAGCGAAGACACCAACCCTGTGTCAAATTGATGTAGAATTGATTTTTCATATAAACTAGCTTAGAAAATTACGGGTCTAACAAAGTTAAACAGTTAATTATTATGCAATTGTTTAAAAATTGAATGGGTAATGGTAAGTTCTTAGAACCTTTAAGAGGAGCCAAAAAATACAATAATTGCATTATCTTTTCTTCCTGGGCATGCTTATTTAATTAGTGTCCCGACTCCCCAGTCCCCCAGATTTGTACTCACGCGCACAGTTCCGCCTTGACCATCTGGCGCGCGGTGTTCTGCTCGTTGACCACGAACATCCAGTTTCCGCGGCTGTTGAGCGCCGCCTGCGGGGTGATGAACTGCGAGGTGGTCTGGCAGAGGGTGGAGCGTCCAGGACTCTGGCGCTTTGTCCTCGAGCGCTTCTTCAGCGGATTGGGGGCGTCCACGCCCACGATATCCAAGAGATCCATGTTAAGCGAGACGTCGCGCTTGCTCTGCGCGTGATCCTCTGCCGGTGCACCCTGCTCCTCGTTCTCCTCGTTCTCCTCCTCCTCCTCCACCTCTTCCGGCTGCTCGCCCTCCTCCTCCTCCGCCTCCACCACCTCTTCCTCCACCTCCTCGTCGCCGCCGGCCTGCCGCTGCTTTCGACTGAGATCCCGGACCAACCGCTTCAGCCAGAGGGTGGCATTGTAGGGAGTGGTCTTGCCGCCCTGGTTGAAGTACAGGTTACCGCCGGAGGACGAGGCTCCGCCCTGCGAGTTGTACCTTTGACCCGAGCGATGACCTCCGCCCGAGGAGGTGTACAGCAGATACCTAAGTCAGGGAAAATTACAAATTTGTATAAAAATAATTCGTACAATGTATATCTGATACCAGTTGCTTTCTACTAGTTGTTCTAAATAACTATTTAGTGGTTTTCTAATAAAGTGATTAATCAATCTGCAGCAACCTAAAGAACTCGGGAGTCTTCTTTAAATTTGTAAAAATTTTAAATTCATAATTTATAATTTAAACATTCAAAGAGTGTGTTTTGATCATAATTAACTTTACAATCAGTTTTATAACCACATTGTGACAATACTACGTCCAAGGCTGAATAGTTTTCCCTTTTCTGTTATGGTATAAACAAATCTAATTTTAAGGAAGGCCTTCAAAAACGTTAAAAATCGGTTACCGGAACAAACGTATTCAAATTGCTAGTCATACATTTAATTTATATTTGTTAATGATTTTTTGAGTACTCACGTTGGTGCTTCCGTTGAGGGATTACTGGCGAAGAGGGGGTTCCCCCGCCACTCACCCTCTGGGGATTGCCTCCAAATGGGGTCTGATAACTATATCCATTAAAATCCTGGGCATTGGGATCGCGGGGTGGGAAAATGGACTTGGGATCGTAGAAGACGGGAGTATCGTACCACGCCACAGCCGCAAAGTCTTCCCAGGTTTCGTCCACCAACAAAGTTCCGGCCTCATAGCCCCATTTTCGAACGAGGCTCTTAATGAGATACCTTGAAAAAGAAATCAATTGAAATAGTTGTAAAATAGGTTATATGGGGAAAAAATTTGTATCTGTTATTAACAAGTGGAAAATGACCTTATTTTGAATTTTTTTCCTGCGTGCAAGAGGGAAACAATGAGTGATGTAAGCTGCGATGCTTAACAGGCTGGGAAAGCGAAAATCAGGCACTTGTTGAATCCACTGAATTATGCAAGTCACAGAGCGACTGACTGACAAGTGCCAGAAATTGCTATGGAAATGGTAATTGCGGAGTTGCCCAATCCAAATCAAATATGAGTATCATAATTAATATGCGGCCGCCGGGCAAGAAAGAAAAAAGATTGGGAGGCGCAGACATCGTAAATAATAAATTGGCAGTGCTGTATTTATTTTGTATTTTGCGACTCTTATCAACAAGCATCGCATGCTCGTCACGTGCCACAAAAACAGGCAGAGAAAGGTAAGGGTTAAGGGACGGGAAAGGCCCAGCCTATATGTATAGTAAAAACCAGCTTGGGGCTTTCCCAAATATATATATATCTTTTTTCAGAATTATGCAACTAACAGAAATTCCAATGCAAGCGTTGTAATAAAAATGCCTATTTAATTGCCGTGTCGGCGCCGAGGGCTTATCAAGCCATTCGCATTACCATTACCGACTAACGCACATATTATTTAAATCCGAGTCAAAGAAATGCTCTAAAAATAGACGAACAAACATGGCCAACCAGTCGAGCGAAGGTGGGTGATAAACAAACAAGCAAAACAACAAACATTTGAGTGCCATCTTTGGAAACCGTAAGACAAAAGGCGTAATCTTGTGGTCATTTGCTGAGTTATGGATGCTCTTTCCTTTGATTTCAATTTTAATTTCATTTATTTCGTATTCATTTTGAAAAATCGAATAACTTAGTTGATGGTCATTACACAATTATAACGTTCAATAAATGTTATATAGCGAATGCATTTTTATAAATTCAATTAAATTTAATTAATCATTAAGAGTTAAAATAAATAACTGACTAGTGATAAAACTTAGAATCTTTCATAAAATTTAAGCCCATTTCAAAGTGGCTTACCTCTAAAAATTACCTCTCTAAAAATCTGCATTCAAAATTTTCAATTTATCGTTGATCAAAATTTTGACCCATTTTCATGTTAGTTATTTCTAATTTTCCGATGTCTTGTAATACAGTGACTCAAAATTGGGCTTCCAGAGTCCATAACTTTACTAAATTCAAGCCGATTCCAAAGTGGCATACCTATAAAGACTTGTGAATCGATTCTCTAAAAATCTGCATTCAAAATTTTCAATTTATCGTTGTTCAATATGTTGACCCATTTTCATGTTAGTTATTTTTGTAGTTTTCCGATGTCTTGTAATACAGTGACTCAAAATTGGGCTTCGAGAGTCCATAACTTTACCAAATTTAAGCCGATTCCAAAGAGGCATACCTCTAAAGACTTGTGATTTGATTCTCTAAAAATCTGCATTCAAAATTTTCAATTTATCGTTGATCAAAATTTTGACCCATTTTCATGTTAGTTATTTCTAATTTTCCGATGTCTTGTAATACAGTGACTCAAAATTGGGCTTCCAGAGTCCATAACTTTACTAAATTCAAGCCGATTCCAAAGTGGCATACCTATAAAGACTTGTGAATCGATTCTCTAAAAATCTGCATTCAAAATTTTCAATTTATCGTTGTTCAATATGTTGACCCATTTTCATGTTAGTTATTTTTGTAGTTTTCCGATGTCTTGTAATACAGTGACTCAAAATTGGGCTTCGAGAGTCCATAACTTTACCAAATTTAAGCCGATTCCAAAGTGGCATACCTCTAAAGACTTGTGATTTGATTCTCTAAAAATCTGCATTCAAAATTTTCAATTTATCGTTGATCAAAATTTTGACCCATTTTCATGTTAGTTATTTCTAATTTTCCGATGTCTTGTAATACAGTGACTCAAAATTGGGCTTCCAGAGTCCATAACTTTACTAAATTCAAGCCGATTCCAAAGTGGCATACCTATAAAGACTTGTGAATCGATTCTCTAAAAATCTGCATTCAAAATTTTCAATTTATCGTTGTTCAATATGTTGACCCATTTTCATGTTAGTTATTTTTGTAGTTTTCCGATGTCTTGTAATACAGTGACTCAAAATTGGGCTTCGAGAGTCCATAACTTTACCAAATTTAAGCCGATTCCAAAGAGGCATACCTCTAAAGACTTGTGATTTGATTCTCTAAAAATCTGCATTCAAAATTTTCAATTTATCGTTGATCAAAATTTTGACCCATTTTCATGTTAGTTATTTTTGTAGTTTTCCGATGTCTTGTAATACAGTGACTCAAAATCGGGCTTCGAGAGTCCATAACTTTACCAAATTTAAGCCGATTCCAAAGTGGCATACCTCTAAAGACTTGTTATTTGATTCTCTAAAAATCTGCATTAAAAATATTTGACCTATTTTCATGTTAGTTATTTCCAAGTTGTCTTCTAAAAGAGTGACCCAAAATTGGACTTCTAATTTCATAAAAGTGACGTACCTCTTAAGACTTGTCGTTTGATTCTCTAACTTGCAATCTACATTTGTCATTTTAAAGCTGATTAATTTTTTAACATATTTAGGGTATAATAATTTCAGACCCTATAAAATTTATATATTGTTGAAAGGGTATATAAAATTTGACTTGCAATTTTGTTTTGCTTGATAAGATCTCTTAAAGCCATAAGTCTTATCAGATATATAATAAAAATATTTTAAGAAATCCATAAATTATTAGGCAACATGTTTTATTCATTGAAAAACATGATGTTCTCCGCAAAAGTCTGAAGCACACCCAAAATACCCTAGCTCAAGCGCCAAAGTGCCGGTCTAAGCAACTTATGATGCCCCGAAGACACGATTATTCATTGGAGGCATTCATAAATATTCGAGAAGCACGCGGCCAGTCGTCGTATCGTCGCCAAAGTTATACTACATGGTAGGAGGCAAACAAAAAGTGTCTTGAACTGTCAATTCAAGTTTATTGGGTCAAGGAATTCCCCCATCTGACTGAGAGCAGAAGCCCCACGAAGCAGCATCTCCACGAGTATTCGAGTATTCGAGTATCTGAGAGCTCGTCGCGGAAGCAGCCACAAAAGATACTTACTCGAGCTCGATGCTGATGCTCCTATGCTAATGCGATGCCAACGAACAAGTTTCGATTTTAATAGCGAACTCAAATCGAAACTCAAATTGTCTCGTGGTCAAACATTTGTTTGAAATCCATTTGAATGAAGAGCACATTGATTGGACCAGCGATGTTTAAGTTTTAATTAATGATTAATGCAAAATAAATGTCAGCATTTGTTTAACACTAAATAATGGTTTTATTTTAGATATTAGATATTGAATCAATTTTTTATTTAAGAATACTTCTGCAGTTTTGTAATTTGGAATAATAGTTTTTAAATAGTTTAGTACTCCAATATAATTGAAAGTTATGGTGAAGGAAAAACTAAGTTTGATTGGATGAAAGCATTGTATATGAAGAGCGTTAATGCTTTTAAATTGTTTAATATATTAAATATATTTTTATATTAATAATATATTTAATAATAATATATTTAATAATAATATATTTAATAATTATTTATTACATTAATAATCAATTCCTAATTTATTTGTAAAAGGTTGTACTTATTTTATTAGATATTGGTGAAGGGAAAACTAAGTTTCATTGGATGAAAGCATTTTCTATGAAGAACATCAGTTAATGCTTTTAAATTCCCTAATTTATTTTTATGAACTCTAAGATCGAATTCGAAGCGTCATCTATATTTGGATTGTATTTATGTTTTAATGAGTTAACATATTTAAGATAAATTAGATGGTAAGAACTACTGAACTTTAAATAAGATATTATAATGGATAATGGAAGATATTATAGTGGTTATACTTACGTGGGGTAGTTATCAGCGTGTTCGCAGTAGGTTTTTCCTGGACGGGCACAGGTGGGCGTTTGGCCAGGTGGCGCCGGGAGGAATTGGCAAGGCGGCGCTCCATAAAGGCCACATGGCGGGGGCGAGCTGTGGGCGGCTACTGTATAAGCTAATATCTGAAAGGAATATGCTGTCAATTATACCAAGTACTTCTTGATCAAGGAATACTCACCACATAGGTAAGGAGAACGCGGTTACAACTAATAGGGGGCGGACGTTTAATACTCTTTGTCATTGTCAATTCATTCGCCGTCGATTTGCATTTGCATTTGACTCGTTTGCGATTCAGAAACTGTCTTCAACGCGAAGTCTTCAACGTCTAAAGCGAAAGAGAAACTGTCATGAATTATTTGGCTAAATATTAGTCGCGAAAAAAGGCAAATACTCGGGAATTTTTCACACCATTTCCATTGGGACACAAAACAGACAATAACTGATGGTTTTTCCGCAGCGGAAATGCCCCAAAGTGTTTGTTTGTCGTGCAGAGTTCACTTGGGCTTATTGTTAAGTCAAACAATCAGCAACTAAAACAATAACATAAACACGAACTACACAACCGACAACCTCTAAAGCAAACAACACCCAAACAACTCGAACAACTCCCGTAAATAGTGAAAATAAATTGCCAAAAGTGAAAGTGACGAACAAGCTCAAGACAACAAGATTAAGTATACGTAGATTAAGTATACGCCGCGCAGATAATGGACTGGTCACGCCCACTGCTATTGTGGGGGCGTTCTCAATTGGCAATCCAAGCTGTCAGCTAATGACAATATTTATAAACTCTAATGATTTATAAGCGCTTCTAAACGGTGCTTTAAATTGGCGGCATTTCAATAAATGATTGAGTGGACATTAAACAGTTTATTTAAGAATAAATCGAAGTTTTCAATAAAATGTGGAGCAATTTAAAAAAGAAGAATAAAAACAGTAATTATAAAGTCGAATTTTTTTATGTTCAATGTGATTTACTGTACAGGAAATGAAATGGAAACAAATGGGAAGTTTTCGAGTATATTTGTTATTTAACCTACCTATCTGAACAAATACTAATTAATACTAAAACTGTGAAATAAAATTACCTTAATTAGCGTTTCTAACTTGGTGGTAATATAATAGGGAAAAAGTGGAACTTCCCAGTGATTTGAAATTAATTTTGTGGTAGCCAAAGTAAAAATAAAAAACTTTTTTAATTGTTCTAAAGCCATGGTTACAAGTGATCATATCAAAAGCTGTCACTGTCAATGCTAAAAACCGGATTTCATGTCAAGCTTTGCTTTAGTTTCGATAAAAATGTGTACCACAATTATTAATAGAACAAACAGCAATAACAATTCGCTTTAACAGCCTGTCATGGGGTGCCTGTAAAAACAGTGAACATTCAAGAATTAATAGGAATTTATGCTGATACAAAAACACCTGCCACGAGCTGTGATAGGATTTCCGGGATCACAGGCTCTTTGAACAAGCCAAGCAAAACAAATCAGTCAACAATCAAACGCCAATGACAAAGTGTCGGGCAAGGTACACTAAAATAAATTTGTAACTTTTTTTATAGTTTGAATTTATTACATATAAATAAAGTAATTCATTATTTGAATAATAAAGGAGAAAGTTTATTCTATTAAAATTTAAAAGAAAAACATATTTTTTTTCGAATTTACTTTTACAATTTTGTAAAGAAAACATTTAAATATTTGTCTTCAGTTTTTTAAAAATATATTAAACAGACATAATAATATTCCCTTCTATTATATAATATTACAGCTGAATTTAATCTTATCCTTAAAATTTATAAATTAAACGTTTTTTAAACCATACACTAAGGACTTGAAAGTGCTGATTATTTTTCTCTGTGTATGGACCCCAGCTTTGTTTGGTGTTTGCGATCTGCTAATGGAGTCTTGCACATGGCTACACCCACGTATCACTGGTATTTCCCCGATGCCAAAGTTGCGCCAGGCGATCACCTCATAAATCACAGAGTGGCCAAAAGAAGTTGGACTTGGTTAAAGTCGGGCCAAGTGTTGGTATTGGGCATTGTCTCCCTTACCAACTTTAGAGGCAGTGTGTGTTTTATGGTGTGTTTTGGGCCATTTGCACATCATTAGGTCGACGGGCCAAAAGTTAATGAAATTGTTAAAGATCTTTGGCCGAGCTTCAGCGGCTAATCCATTGGCTGCAGCCCCATTTTCGAAATTGAGTGCTCAACATTGATGGGCTTTATTCAATTTATTTGAATGATTTGGCCGCAAAATCATCTATCTATATTTAATTGATTATCCCCCGCCTGACTAATGATCGATTGTCGGATCTTTATCTTTGTCTCGCCCAGACATTCTCACTTATTCACTTGATTGGAACGTTTTCAGGGGATGAGTCTAGATATTTTGTTGGCAACTAATTAAAATATGAGTTGGTCAAAAAAATCATTTAACTTAGAATACTGTTAATTAATTATATGGCTATTTAATTAAAAGAAATGATTATTACTTTTTGTATAACAAAAATGCAATACAGATGGCTAAGCCATAAAGTTTTATTTTAGATAAAATTGAATTAAATAAAACGAGACTTGAAATCTTTAAAAATTACATGTTTTATCTATAACAGAATTTTTAAATTTATATTTGTAATAATAAATTTAGAAATTTATCAATCAGAAAGGCTTAAGCGTTTACCAGAAATTATATATTTATGAATCTCAAATTGTGGTAACAGCTCACTTTTGATCCGCTTTTTGGCCTATTTGATACTAAATTAGGGACTAAAACAATGGATTCGATTCGAGCCAGACAAAAAGCTGGGCTTCATTAAAATTTTTTAAACATATCTTTAATGCCTGCATTTAGCTGAGAAATTAAGCACGACTTTTCAAGGCTGCGGCCAGGTTTTGTTTCCCCACTCTTATTATATTTTGTTTTTATTTACTCAAAGTGTTGTCTGCATTTTTTGTGGATTTTGTTTTGTGATCGCTTTGATTTAATTTGTGTTTGCTGGTTTCCTAACATTTCGGTTACAAGTATATAGACGAATAGAAACAATAAAATTATACAATAAATCAGATCTACGACGACAGATTAATTAAATTTATTAATTTATGGCAGAGCGTTCAATTATTCACTTTATTAATTACTCACCTACTGTGCGGCCTATTGTATTGTTTTGTCTGTTGCCTGTTTTTGTTAACCTTTTTTTACACACTACACTTAAGCTTAGCTATGCTGTTTTGTATTTTTGTGAATTATTTTCTCTTTTTGCCACCGAAATCACTTGAAAATTCTACTAATTAAAAAACTTAACACGTACCGAAGAGAAGCGCGGAGATTTCAATTTGTATTTTTCGGCTTTGGGTTTTAGGTTTCGTTTTAGGTTTCGTTTTTTCCGTTTTACGCGTTTGCCAATGCTCACGGCAGAGGTTCGTAGCCAACTGAACCAACTGAGTCTTAGCCAAGTTAACAGCCGCGAACTCTGGGCAGAGAAAAGCAGAGCTCGGGTCAGAGCAGCGCTATATGGCAGAAAGATATAGCCGGCTGTGATCTCCCCAGCTAATCTCTCAATTCAGCCCGGTCAACTTTGAACTTTTTGGTCCGTGATTCATGTCGTTGGCCACATACTACAATATGATATGTGCGGTTTTTCATTTCTGGCCCGAATCAAGACCGGAAGTCCAGCGGTTCGGGCCATTCAATATGACGCGGTCTTTATTTATTGACAACTTTTATTGTTTGTTTTACATTGTCGCCAAAATGCGAACTGCAATAAAGTGAATTTATTTAAATTGTTAATTTTTGCTGGTCGCCAATTGTTGTGTGGCGTTGCCGCCGGTTTTGGCCCATAGATACGATTCATTGTTCGGGCGATGAATTTGGATTTTTATGGCCAATGAAGGTCATTTAACAGCTTTTATCTGTCGCAGATTTGTGACTGCTGCCGTTGATTTGGCGCTGCCTCCGGCGCAGACATTGGATGTTGCCAAGAAAAGGCTTTTAATGACCAAGACCACGCACAATTGTAGGAGTTACCTACGGCTTTTGTCTCTTAGGTAAGGCATTTAAATCAATTTATGTTCGTTGACAAAGGTGGAATTATGGGATAGTGTATTTTTATAGTCTTTTTTTATATATTCTGTATTAAAAAATATTATTCCAAAACTTACATATCAATTTGATAAATGTTAGTACTTATACACATTTATATTTATATTTATTTATTTGAATTTCTTTTTGAAAGAAAGCGTTCATTGCTTAGTCAAATAATTTCCCTTTTAATTTATAAAAATTGCATATTCATTAAAACCACAAGATATATGTACATTCGTAAAACAAGTGTAGGAAACTAATTTGGACATTATTTGTAGTTTGTTTTATTAATAATTAAAGCCTAAAATAAATTAACCATTATAACAATTATACGAGGGCATTGAAATATGAATTGTATTACATTAATATTTTATAATTAAAAACAATTTACTTATACAGTCAATAAGATAAGTTTTGAATAAGATAGTTTTTCTTTTTTAAATATTTATTTTTTAATGTTCAATTGTGATAAGATTATCTTAATATACTAAATTAAATTTACTTATACTTAATACTGAATAGAAAACATACTTGAGGCAAACTTCTATTTTAAATACAGAGTATCCCTTAGTTCACTCACCGAATCCGATCATTATTTATGTTAACAGCTGATTGCCAATAAGCAATGTCCCATAAAGCAAGAGATTTGCACTCTCAAATCTTCCGAGACGTTTTTGGAATTTTATCCGTCGCCTTGTTGGTTTCATCGTTCAATTTTGGTTTTTTCGGTTTTATATTTGCACAACTTTCACAAAGTCGAGACCTAGACCAAGAGGCTGAAAAGTACGGGAAAACCCTCGCCGAAATCACGAATTGGGGGGCTCCGAGCTCTTATCGAAAATGGTTTTTAATGCGTTTTTAAGTCAAATTAGTGACTTCATCAGTCTGCCGGCCGAGCAGGCTCAGATTCGGTTTGAGATTCACTTAAGCCGCTCATTAATCAAACTCCGAGTCCAAGGTATCGGGACCAAAGTTATTTTATAACTAACACTAACTCGCATATGTAACCCAGTGGAAGGGCCACTCCCCCATCCGCCTCCAAAGTTTTAGGGCTCAGCTGCAATTGCGAAAGGGTTAATTAGAGGCTGGGCTTGGGCTTAAAGCCGTCGGTTGGCCAACGGTATCCAAATCGCCGTTTGCCCCGGGCCAATTCGTACCTCATGCCGCATGATTTTTGTCCCACTAACCCGTCAAACATCACCCGCTGCCCGTGACGCAATGGTAATAGCTTTTATGGGCCGGCCAGTTTTGAGGTAGGCTTATTTTATGAGTTCCCGCCTCCGAAAACTAAACAGCGCGCGAAGAATCGCTAGGGAAACGCTAGCAAACCGCGCTAAAACCGCTGCTCGATGGGTTGTGATCTTCGATTAGTGACTGACAAAAGCAAAATGACTTTGCTCTTAAACATTATATTTTAAACTAATTTTACTGGTTGAAAAACAAAGATCTTGAATACTCTTGACCCTGTTATATTATTATTTTAAATTATAATTAAAAATAAGACAAAAATTTGTTAAATTAGTTTCTGAATTCCCAGAACTAATTTACCTTTTAGGTTTAATGCTATAGTCTGTATATTAAAAACTTTAGTATATGCAAAACAACATTAAATTCTTTTTTTATAATGGGGCTCTTATATGTTGGTACTTATCACAATTGATGTTCGTGAAATTTATGTTTTCAAATAAATTAAAAAACAATTCCCTCGGGAATAAATAGTACTTGAACAAATTGTGATGATCGAAATAAGACCAAGTGGTTATCTTTCAACACAAATTTCGAGCCCATACTTAAAATCTTTTGCATTTTATGGGCCACCTGAAATGTTTCAACAGTTAATAAAATAATGCTGAATTATGCTTTCGCATATATTCAAACGCTATTCTCATACTAACACTCTGTTTTGCGTCTAGTCGACTTAAAAAAACTGAAAACACTTCGTGCCGGGTGTTCTTTATGATTGTTTAGCCATAAAAGCCTCCTCCTGTCACTTAGGGTATAATTTATATTCATGACTGGTCAAGGCGTCGAAAGAAAAAACAAGGATGGGGAAAAGACAAAAGAGAAGCGGGATATTTTCACCACATGTCCTTCAGATAAACAGGATAACACAAAAGTAAACCATATGCTTTGGATTTGAGCATCATAAACTTTCCTGATTGTCCCTTGTCTACGCTTGTCATTTAAAACAAATGACCATAAATAATGAAAACTTTATAAGTTTGAATGGGTGTCATACAAAGCATTTTCTTAAAATTTATCCAACATTTTGGCGCGAACATTTGAGAGTCGTATCGAACGGCTTGAGTTTATTTTTATAGTCGATAAGAGATACTCCAGGTTGTGTGACATCACTTCGAACCGAAAACAGGTTCGATTGCTTTCGTTTAACTATTGAATGAAAAAGGTGTTTTGTTTTGTAATAATAATTGAAATTATTTAATACAAAAATATAAATAATATTTTTATAAAATTATTTTTCTTAAATATTTCGTTTATTATTCTTTTCTGACAGTGCCAAATGTTAAATGACTGAAAATAATATTATGTTATGCTAACATGAACATTTGACCCGCACTTAAAATAAAATTGTTAAACAGACTACTAAAGATTTAATTAGACTCTGTTGAGTTAAGCTTTTTTATGGGATTTGCGAACGTCAAGTTGTATTATTTTTACATAAACACTTGTAAACCAAAATAACTAATATTAATAGTAATTAATATTGAAATTCTACAGCTTTGTAAATTAACATAGAGATATTTCACATTAAACATGAAACACCTGCATCTCCAATTTTCCACCCCCATTTGCGGTAAAGCCCTTTCAAGGCAATCCGCCCCTGCTGGCGTTTCGAAACGCTCATCCTCATCCGCCATCAGCTGGCCGGAAACTCACCACGACGTCGACGTCGGCGTCGGCAGCGCCGGATCCGGCGGCAGCGGCCTGTCTCCGGCGGAACGCTCTCAAAAGCGCTGGGCCACAGCTGAGAACGGACGTGTGGTGGGTGCCTGAATAAACCGCTCCGGTCGTGTGCCGCATGGCGTATACTTAACGTCGGACGACGCCTCGGCTTCCGTCGTGTTTTTTCTGGCGTTTTGCTAGTCGGTTAGCCAGTTGGTCACTTGGTCAGTTGGCCAGTCAGTCGGCGGCTGGCCATCAACTGTTACCAATCCAATGCAACTCCTGGCCTGCAAACAAAAAAGTGTGTGTGTGCGCGGAAATTCGTGAAAAAATGCCAAGAAGTCAATGAGGAAAAATTAAAAATTTCGAAAATAAATCAAGTGTGACAAAAGAGATTTTGCGCGAGAGAAAGCAAAAGAAAGCACAAATACCGAAACGTATAATCTAAAATCTAAATTTCTTGTGACGCGTTTAAAAGTGCAGAAAATGTGGCCATCGCAGTCAATCAATTGATTTTTCTTTTTACCAAAAGTTGCCAGGGGGAAGGAAACTCACAGAGTTTGTATCTCTTTGGGGTCACAGGACATTAATAATGCCAAGGCAGCATTTCTGGGGAGTTGTATCGCAAAAACTAGATAAACAACTGGGTAGCAAAACAAATTGCCCAACGGAAGCCCAAAAACCAGATCTTCGAAGCCCCGAAAAAGGGGGTCATATGATTGACAATGGTTAAATGGGGGTTGCTAGTTGGCGTCAGGCGGGAAAAGTCGGAAAAGCCAGACAACAGACGCGGCGTCGCAATAATCATAAAGGCAATAACAAAACACGGCCAAAGGAATCATAAATTCATGTGTCAGCGATTCGGGCTTCCTAGGGGCTTCGGTTTTCTTGGGGGTTAAATGTCTCCCCTTGGTTATTCATTCATGGGTCGTAATTAGCCGAGTAGTTGCAGTTGCCTGAATAATTTGGCAGCCACAACGCAACTTGGCCAATTAGCCGCTTAAAAGATGTATACACAAACAAAGACAGGTGGGCCGCACTTTTCGCTTGACTAAGGTCAAAAGTTGTCTCTCTCTCCATAAAGATGGTCCCCCAAAAACAAGAAAAATAGAACCCATCTGAACTTGATGCTGTCGCTGAGGCTGCCGACGCATCGCGAGGCTATGGCGGCTATTTTTAACGGAAAAGCACGCCCGCACGGCCAATAAATTTTACCCAGAAAATGAAAAGCCAAAGAAAAAAAGGAGAAAAAGAAAACAGAAAACAGAGAGATCGGAAAGCATATATGTAGGCATTCGAGACATTCATATTAATTAAACTTTGCAAGTGGAAATCTACTTTGAAAACTTTAAAACTCATTTCTTTTCGTGGCGGAATGTAGTTGTCAAATCGCACGCACAACAGGGAAAACAAACCAGCGGGAGAGAGGAAAATCCGAGAAGAGAGAGAGCGACTTTTCCTAGCCAAAGAGAGAGAGCGCGAGAGAGTGGCTTTTCCAGGAGGTTTGGGCCTTCCAAAATAACACATTCCTCGTACAAAGGATTGGCTTCGCATTGACATTGGAAGCTTCTCGGTTTTCCGCTTTTCCTGCTGCTCGAGTTTGGAGTTTCCCCGACGCTTTCAGTTCGTGGCTAGACTTTGGAGCGTGCTGTGCTTGGGAAAAACTGTGTGCGTGAGCAGCGGAAAATCGAAAAAGGCCCCCGCCAACCCCCTCCACTCCCCGTACGCACACTTTTACACCGCATTTTCCACAGGCCAAATGTGTAATAAAATCGAAACAATGGAACAGCAAACAAAACAACAGAAAATATAATACCGAATTGAAGTTCATTTGAATTGTGAGTGCAGAGGGCCGCAAGAAAAGGTGTTTTCCCTCGGTGAAGTAAGGCGTGTTCCACCCATATACCTTCGAATTCAAATACAGTCGGGAGAAAAAAAAAAGGAAAGGCCCGAAAGGCAGACAGATAGGCTGGCAGAAAAGAAAAATCCGCTCTAGGACTGGCATTACCATAATGCCAACGCGCCGAATGGAATACGTTTTCCTTACGAATTATAAAAAGATTCCTTAAAATGTGTAAAGTATGCTAAGTTCTCTTTGTTTTCCAGCGAGTGTGTCTGTGACAAATATTTTCCTAAAGCCAGATAAATGAAAATTCCTTAAATTACAATCGGAAATGTAAAATAATTATATTCCTATGCTATAACAAATAAACACAAAATCAAAAACTTAACCAACGCTTAAACAAACCCTTAAACTAAACCTAAACAATACGCCAGTGAATTTAATACTCTTTAGTTGGTAAGTGTAATTAAAATAATATATTTTACTATAACTATTGTTATATTATATTTCTACGTAAATTATAATGTAACTCAATGCTGAAGCAAACGATTTTTATAGTCTACCTATTTTAAAAACTAATACCTTCGTATAATAAGTTCTAGAGAATTGTGAAATTAATTCTATACTCGAGAATTATTTTACCCTTAATAAATGTTTATTGGTAAAATAAACGAAAACTTTTTATTATTGGTGAGTTTCAGAAATAACTTCCGCAGTATTTCCGGTAAATTTTGCTTTATGAATTTATGCTAATGCAATCGATATTTTGACTCGTGCCGCACTTTTGGCAACTTTACGAGTCAATTAGCGTTTGTAATTCGACATGCTACTTACTCAGGTTTTCCACATTTTCATGAAGCCCTTTCTGTATTTGAGCTGGGGTTTTTATCGGCCGCAATTACCCGTGCTGCGCAAACACATTTCCCAAGTTGTCAAACGGCCTTAATGGCACCTATGCGGGATCCAACCGCCCCCAAACCTAGATAAGGAATAAAAATAATATTATACTCATGCTAGTTGACAGACAAGCCAATAATCAAGTGATGTGCCGCAAATATTTTGATAAGGCGGTGCTATCCACCACTGCGTTCTCGCCCCTTTTCCACCTGCAGCGGGAAAAGCGGGAAAGTTTCGGGAATTTATGGGGGAAATTCGGCTGGGCGAGGCTGGGCCATAAAATATACTTAGTCCAAACATTATTCGCAGGTGATAAAATGGCTTCAGATGTGTAAACAACAACAGTGCACGCTTCTTAATGGTTTGCCAATTTTGGTTCCGTGTTTTCGGAAGGCGTGGTCCACATCCAAAGCAATTTTCCCAAAGTGAAAGGTTTCCAAAGGGATTGACGCGATTGTCGGGAGCGAATGAAGCGGAAAAGCCTGTTAGAATTACGAAAAAAACACAGTAAGTGCACTCGATCACGGTTTTTGTAAGCTATAAATCAGCTTAAACTAAATTGGAAGTATAGTATGTATCCAGATATATAAAAATCATTCGTCAAACATTGCATATTAAATTATCCACTTTGTTTGTCCCTATGAAACAAAGGCTTTTGAAAACTCTGAAAACTAAAAACAATTTTTAAGGTTTAAGCTTGAATCTTTACTTTATATTTTGTTGTGATTTATTTTATTTAATGTGAATATACATTTATCCGTCATTTTGATTAAATAATTGCTGAAAAGCACTGTCATCTGCGTTCAAAGATTTATGCATTCTAACATAGTGCTATAACTACTAACTAAAAAGTCAAAAGAAAAAATCAGTGATGAAGTTATAAGCCAAACAAATCATTTGAAAAATCAAAAGTAAACGGTAGAGAACCAAAATAGATTCAGAGCCCAAATATATATTTCCTCATACAACAAAGTGCTGTGTGTACTAACTAAAAGGCCAACCAAAAAATTCAATGATGAAGTTATAAGCCAAACAAATCATTTGAAGAATCCAAAGTAAACGCTTGAAATCTAAAATAGTTTCAGCACTCAAATATCTATTTCCGCATAGTTTGTATTTGTTTGGCCTTACAACAATCTAGTTTACTTCCCAAAGAGAATATCTTTAGCTGCCATTCAGTCCTAAAGTTGGTCCTGAAGGTTGTCCATAAATTTGGTCTTCGGTCCGCGCGCTTGTACTTATTTATCTTTGCACAGTTGCCAGTTAAAAGCTATGAATTGTGTTGGCTGTCGAAATAAATACCAGACCGTTGCAGTCTGACATTTTTATGGCAGTTCCAAATTATTCAGCACAGCTCTAGGAAAAAGGGAGATGTGAAAAAATGCTGAATGAGAATTCCATACGGCATTAGTTGGGCTTTTACCATCAGTTTTGTTTGGGAGTAAACTCGTACATTTGTTGTGGATTTAAATGATTTGTCAACTCATTAAACTCGTAGTATTTATGCCAACAATGATGAAAGAAAGAGAGAAAGTTGGTCTTTATTCTGCAAGTATTTGTTAATGTTCATGGCCCATTAGGCGGCCAAGTTAGGCTTTTATTAGAGTTTGCCAAGTGTGGCATCTCTTATTTGGGCCATTAAAGTTGTTAACTGGATTTGAGGCCACCATAGGATCCCCTATCCATCCGTTTACATTGGCTATAGTTTTTTCGCTTGCACATTTTTTTATCCCGGATGTGCTTTTTTCGGCCTGATGACGTGCATACGTCGAACTTCGGGCTTATCTTGGCCCTTTTTTCTATACTCTATACTCTAGACCTCCGGATTGCACCCTGTTCCCCAGATTTTGCCACCACTTGAGCGGAGTCAGCGAAGCGCGCTTCCATTCATGTTTGAGGGCACATAATCAATATTTGGCAAGCAGCCGAATCGCATATGACAAACAGCGACAGGCCCGAGAACTACGCGATATATGTGTATATATATCAGTATACTATATATATATGGGGCATAAGTGTTACGGGGACCGGAGTTACAAGGAGGAACCCATTGCCATCCCATCAGCAAAGTGCATCAGCCCATTGAATCCTGCCTGAGTGGGCTTTTGATGATTTAAAAAAACCGATTTTGTTTTTGCCAGCGATACTCTTTTGCATAAATAAAGTAGCGAGTTAAGTTGATTTGCGGCGAAATTCTGCATAGAGAAGGAAATTGCTTGGTAATTGGAAAGTAATCCAAAATAAGTTTTATTATTTACTAAATCAGAAAGAATGGTTTTTTGTTTAAAATAAGGAATATTAAATGGTTAAACAAGATCATTACTTGTATCTTATCTAAAACTAAAACCCTTATAATTTCCAGGAAATGTTTTACTCTTTTTAATTATTACCTTCTTCACCGGTTGTGGTTTTTAATGTATTTAATTGTATGGGATTTTTAGTTATTTTATTATTATTTTTTAAAAAGAGTATTTAGAAGTCTGCATTGATTTTCTACCCCTTTGGGCAGGGCAAATCAACTTCTTGTCGGAGTCGCTAGTTGAGCTTTGTGCAGAGCCCCGAGGCGATAAAAATCAATGGCAGTGGCAGTCAGCGGGTCGCAAGCTACGGATATTATTTCTTCGTACTTTTTGGCACACATGCAATGCCACGCTGCCTACTCCTTCGCTTTCTCCGCCCACTTTCTCCTCTGGTCTGCTTTCTCCAAAGCGTGGGAGTTCAAAAGTCGCCGCGCTGCTGACATGAGCCGCAAAGTGCATTCTGAATTCTGCATTCTGCAGGTGCAAGATTCTGGCGTGGGTGTGTCACGGCGCCCAGACGACAACACAATTGGATTTAAGGCAAGAAGACAGCAGCGAAAAGCGAGGAAAATCGTGGAAAAGCAGCCTGAGCAGTCAAAACTTTTGGGCCTGTCCCTCTTTTTTATCAACCGAGCCTTGTTTGTCAAGGCACAGCTGCCAAGAAAGCGGCAGCGCGCCACAAATTTCAATTTCAATTGGACAACTGGAGCGGTAAAGGGGGTCAAGACGAGTAAACACTGGTGCAGTGAGAAAAATCTAAGGAAAACTCAGATAGAATTTATATATTTTTTTGAAAAAATAAGAGGACTTAAAGGGTACGATGAATAATGTATATAAAAGCTTTATAAATTTTATATTTAATCAAGTACATATTTTATTATCTCTTATTTACATTCGATCTCCCTTTTTTCTTACTACTACTTCTTCTCACAGGATTTCTCCTTATTATTTGGAGGAGTCTCTTCAAAGGCTGTCATAGACTTCTGAAGCCATTTAAATTTATTTATTATTTATTTATTATTTTTATTATTTATTTTCTTCACTGCATTGGATGTAGATCCCATATTTTCCCACAATATTTGAAGTCTTCTCACAGGCTGTCACAGACTTCTGGAGCCAACTCGGTTCTCTGGTTCGAAGCCTGGCGGCTTATTTATTCATGTGCTTCGAGTGGATTGCATTTGCCTGAGAGATAGAGTGCCAATTGCTCACGCCTAAGGGATTCCGCATCGATTTGCTGCGCAACGCGGCGTATACGCAATGCGATTAATCTTTGCAGCCCGAAAAAAAAGGAGCTCATTAGCATGGAAGTATTGGGGGAAAAACTGTGCAAGATTAATTGTGGGTTGTGTTCATCTTAGCTCTTCTTTTTTGACCACTTTGTAGGCGGCCTCTCGTTTTGGCCTAAGTGCCAGCACATTTATGCTAAATGGCCAGCCAAGAATTGTCTGCGGCAACAACTTGAAACTAATTGCCTCTTGACTTTTCCTCCATGGGGGTGGCTCATCTCTGCCCACCGATTTTCCGCTCACTGTCTGCCATCCTTCTTTGTCCTGGAATGGTAATTGTTCACGGAGAACTGCACTTAAACACACAACATTACCGGGAATGTGTGGCAAAATGCTGAAATGCAATTGCTATTGCGGCTGTGCCTCGATGTGCGATGTGGTACACCTCTAATGACACGGCAATGGACACAGCAAGACTGGAAATGCCACAGGCAAAACAAATAAAACACATAAAATAGTGAAGAAAAAGAGAATATATTTGTTCATGGGATGAGAACAGAAGAGGCATTCAAGTACAACAAAACTTTAATTAGACTAAAAGGCACATTTAAAATGATTGTTATAAAGTTTCTTTAACTTTCTTGGTGTAGAGAACTTCTGAAACTTTCGCTGAGGATATAGATAAATATAAGTAGAACAAATGTGCTTAGTAACTCTCTAGCAAACTTATATTATAGCTAATTATTATTACCATTAGTTAATAAATAAACTATAAGTAACCTTTACGTAACTCAGCCCAAAACTAGATAATTAAAGGCCAAGAAAGTAATTAACTTGATAATCAATCACCGCGCACTTCAAGCAACTTTCATTACGAAATTAAACTTGGTTTCATGGAGTGTGATTCCTGAAAATCTTTTTGCTGCATCCGAGGCTTTTCCCAGCTGCCACAGCGAGTTTTCCGCCAGCAAAACCACAGTTTTCCGCTTTTCTTGGCGGTAATTGCAGGCAAAAGGGGTGTGGGAAAAGG